TCCCACAAAGCACAAAGCAAGAAGCATTCAGACATAGGAGGCTACTCAAGCAATTCCATCCTCATAATGGGAAACTGTACTAGCATACAGTGCTAAGCTCATGCTATCAGGCATAACCTAAACAGGCTATCCTACTGCTGTCTACTCAATCCTAGCATGCAATTTTCATATACTGAAGCACATAAAGCAGGCACATAAGGCATCACTCCTAGATCCTTAGTCCTATTCTAGCATGTTGTTCTACAGGAACTGATAAACATATATAAACTTGTATGGGTACATTGGGGAATACTTACTTGAGCTCAGCCGGTCGCGCACATCACACACTTTGTTCCTTCTTAAAAAAAAGAACTCTTAGAAAACATTTTCTTTTTCCAATTATTTTAATCCCTCGATTTGAGTCCAGACACCCCCGAAGGTGTGTCCGAATCCCTCAAACCAGGGCTCTGATACCAACTTGTAACATCCCAAAATACGAGCCAAAAATTTCATTTTTAAAACACATACTTAGCAAAACATTAGAAATAAAACATTCACCGATCATATCATTTCATAAAAGATGTGTGTGTCTGGAAACCAGTTTATAAAAACATAACAATGTCAGAGTACAAATCCCCAGGAAGATCTCATAGTGCAGAATACAAAGCGTGTGTGTGATGTGCTGCTACTGCGCCAACTCCTTCCCCTTCAAAGAAGAGGTACCTGAAACCAAAACTGAAAACTATAAGCACGAAGCTTAGTGAGTTCCCCCATCATACCACATACCATACAATCACATATCATACATATTGTTGGGCAATTCTGGGGTGCCCGACTTACCCGGTACGGCCATTCTGGGGTGCCGACCTACCCGTGTTAAGCCGTTCTGGGGTGCTGACAACACATGTCAATCCATTCTGGGGTGCTGACTACCCATCGGCCCTAACGACCGATCCTCGGGGACTATTTCACCCCCTACTGTTACTATCACATATATCATAACATAACATAATGTCAGACATATATAGGGTGCCTGAACTACCCTTCGGTCCTAACAACCGAACTCGGGGACTAGTCCCCTCCTACTACCTCTATCGCATATAACATAACAAGCCAACATGCAAACATATCATCACATACTGTCAAACGTATCTGGGGTGTCTGACTACCCTTCGGTCCTAGCAATCGAACTCTACTACTATCACATACGACATATCATGCTAGCATATAACATATCAGGTAGTAGCAAACCTAGATGATATCACAAAGACAATCATCTATCATACGTCTCCTACTGGTGGGCCGGCATTGTGGCCTTAGACCCACCGCTACTGGAAGGTAACTCACCTCGAAAATAGCTGTTGAAGTCTGCTTGCTGAGCGTCTGACTGCTGGATCGCAAATCCTCCAGCTATAAACCATAAACATAGGTTAGACACCCATAAATACCCTTAGGTCAAAAGACTGACCCTCCCTTGGTCCAAGGTCAACTCCTTGGTCAAAGTCAATGTCCATTTGACTGGACTCACCGAGTCATGGCATAGACTCGCCGAGTCCTTCTCCTATTAACCCGGCCCTACTCGACCAGTCCTTCTTCCCACTCACTGAATCACCTTTAGCTCATTACTCGGGATGATTGAACCGAATCGCGACCCGACTCGCCGAGTTCCAGGCAATCTTCATAGGACTCGTCGAGTTGTTCATCCAACTCGCCGAGTCTAAGGCCATCTTCATGGAACTTGCTGAGTTCCTCCTTGGGACTCGCCGAGTGCCTATGACCCATTTCCCATATAGGCCAAATCTGAGACATGCAACGCTTCAAAACCACAGATCCATGTTCCTTGAGCATGCTTATCACGTAAAGTTGCAAACTTTACGTGCATGCATGGCCCTATAAGCTCATAAGGCCAAAACCAAACTCTTAATGAGGTCATGCACTCAATGGGGACCTCAAACACTTCAACCACAGAAACTTTATGCTTCTAATTCATCCAATAAGCCTAGATCTGAAGTCCTTTCGGATCATTAAGCACCACATGGAGTTTGGTGTTTTAGGGCTTGAAAACCACCAAATTAGGACAAAAATGGTAACTAATGACCTAAAGATCAAGGTAGGGACTTTTCTACCTGAATGGAAGCTTCTCCCTGAGTAGAGTTCGGATCTACTCCTTTCCTTGCACTCTTCAACCACCTCTTTCCTCTTCTAAGCTCCAAACCTTCTTCACAAAGCCAAAAATACTCTCAAGAACAATATGGGGGCTAGGGTCTCGCTCTACTGCTCTCTGGAAGTGTTAGGGACAAAAGAGACCAAGTTAGAGCGTTTAAATAGGGTGCAAACACCCGGATTAGGGTTTTTGCCCAACCAGGGCCTACTCGCCGAGTCCGGGGACCGACTCGCCAAGTCTAAAGTCCAACTCTCGCGCCTTGTCCCACTCCTACTCGGCGAGTTGGCCCATCTCGCCAAGTACAAGGCAAGATGCATTATTATTATTTATTTTTAAAAGGTAAATAACAAGGAGTACGTACCGGGAACCAGGTGCTACAGTAATATATATATTTTTTTAACTTGTATCCAAAATTTTGTTATTCTTCAAGAAGTTCATTAAATCTATATATATATATATATATATATATATATATATATATATATATATATATATATATATATATTATGTCAGAATGTGTATTCTTGTATGGTTCAATCATATTTATTATTTTTCAATATATTGATAAACATATTCCGTCAGAATTTTCGAATTAGAAGAATTATCATCCATAAAATCAGATTTTTAAAATTAATAGAATCTATTTTCCCTTGAAATATGCAATTTTCCTTTTTTTAAATTTATGTTAATTGACTAAAATACCCTTAGAATGAAATTAGATGATGTTTTTTAATTATATTTAATTTAATAATATGTATTATTCACTTTTCAAAAATAAGTAAAATGATTGGTCCATATATATATATATATATATATATATATATATATATATATATATATATATATATATATATATATATATATATATATAAGTGTATTCATATATGAATACATATATTTATATATGAAGAAGTGAATATTCATATATTAATAGGACGTTTGTGGTTAGTGGTGATGGTTGTTGGTATGAATATTAATCATCATTTGTCGTGTCAGTACGAGAATGCTTTTTGTTGCTAAAATAAATGATTGGATGAGAATGATTCTTTTATTATCAATCTTTATTTTTTTCTCAATTGAACTTTTATTTATATATATATATATATATATATATATATATATATATATATATATATATATATATATATATATATATAATTTTATGAATTTGAATTAAGTCCATTAAACATAAATTGATATATATTAAACCATCAGAGATAGAGTCTATATATCAAATTACGTTCCGAATTCCAAGAGTTTATCAACAGTCACTTCATTCGACGGTCGGTATACCAAATCGTCACATCCCTTTTTGATGTTTGTTAACTTTATGAGTGTTGTAAACAGAGTTTGATTATGTCCTTTAGCTTTGATCGCTTATTAAACTTGGATTTTTTTTTTTTTTTGCATCAATTGAGTTTGTTATGTTCATAGATCGGGGACGGTCTAGAGATAGGTTATGAATGAGGACAAGGACGGTCAAATCCCTCATCCAAATGGGAGTGAATTTGATTCCCTGCATCCTTCAAGGATGGGGATGGGGACGATATTAGGCACTTGGTAGGAATAGTCAGCCCCACCCCTTTTCCATCCATATAACCAATTACTCGTTATTTCATTAATAGAATCGATTATCAACAAATAACCATATATCCTCCTAACTCACATGTGTCTTAACTCCTAAGCATCCATCAACTCAAGTCATCTAATTAGATATTATGTTTTTCACCCCAAAGATGGTTTAAAAACTTGATAACAACTAACCCATTAAAGAGAATCAACATTTCTTCATCATGGTTTTATGTTGGAGTTATAACTCCACATACAAACAATACAAGTGCTTAAAAGGTCAATATATCTTCATCATCTTCATTTCTAGTGATTAATATTATGCTATTGGATTAGAATGGATATCAAGCCCATTACATATCCCCAGCCCCACCTTCACGATCCACCTAACACCCACCCACATTTTTTTCTAAACCTTACCATTATCATCAAACACAAGAGTTAACGAAACATTATGACAAACACAATCTAAGTCTCTTATTCATCAATGCCAAAAACAAACACACCCACTTTCTCTAAACAAAGTTTTATGTCTTTCAATCCAGCCTTATAACACGATTAATAAAAAAAAACATTAGACATTAACAAATCATAAAACTTTCATTAAACATGGTTACACAAATATCAAGCAAATTTACAAAGAATTAAACGTGTTCAAAAGCTCAAAAAATCATAGACAAACACCATATAGAAGGATGGACCTAAGGGTTTTGCATTGAGCAACACCCCTTAAAAAAGTTTGCACAACACACACACACACAAAAAAAAATGTCAATAATGAGATCAAGATAAATACCTTTTGCATCTATGTTTCGGCACACGTGGTTTATAAACAACCCTTCATGCGTCAAGAAGGATTTTTACGGTTTTATACCTGTAAAAAGCTCACTAAGTTACAATGTTCCCAATCAACTTACCAAGTTTTTATTGTATTGATGTCTTTTTATTGTATTGATGTCACCAAATGATCTAAAAAGAACAACACTTAAATCTTTAACTAACAGTATTCATGTCTTTTGCACAGACCAGACAAGAAATACACGGTATTTAAACAAAAATGAAGGTATACTTCCCCTACGCAATTATGAGGTAGGTATTCTTGTTTGATGGGTGACAAGTGTCAAATAAATATGCTATGCTATAGTATAAAGTATAAACACACACGAAATATTAAAAATCTTTCATACAAATCAAACAAATTATTTGCAGTCCCCTCGCATCAAAATTATTAAAATTGATCTATATTATGAAATTTGTTTCTTTTGAAACGCACAAGTATACAATGGTCATTCAATACAAATTTTAGGTATAATCACTCATTACACATTAAGTCAAAAGAAATAAACAACAGGTTCCATACTTTTAATTTATTAAAGATAATCTAATTACACTAAAAACTATAAGTGTACAAAAAACATGCATCCAAAAAATTCACAAGTTTTCTCTTATATCAAAATTCAACAACATGACTCTTTAAATCATTAAATCCTACATATCAAAATTAAAAATACATAATAATAATAATAATAATAATAATAATAATCAATCATTCCTTCCACATGTCTGCAAACTCATCAGTCTCAAGTGGATTACTCATCTCATGCATTTTTCTTCTCGTCTTTGCTTTAACCTTCATCGCATACTTCCCAGCCTTTTGTCTCTTCTCCAAAGATCGTATCTAATCATAATAATTTTTATTTAAAAATTAGCATCCATTAAAACATAAATATGCTTTCTTTAATAATTTCCAACCAAATAAATAAATAATCACCTGATTTGGTGAAACATAGAATGGATTCTCATATAGAGTCGGACCTCCAAAACTACCCCCAAATATCTTTATTGGATTCAAACAAAATCTTGGACCAACCTGTCACAATTATTTTTAAATAAATCTTTAATCTTGTACATAACAACTTTTTTTATAAAAAAAAATATATAAATACAAACATTACTACAAACCTCAATAAGTGTCATCTTTTCCAACCCTCCACGATCAATTTTATCTGCTCCAGTATGAGGACATGATATCTGTTACATAAGATTAAACCAAAAAAAAAAAAAAAAAAAAAACATTACTTTTAAATAATTATATAAAATCTTTATTTATTACAAAAAAAGAAAAAACAAACCTGGTAATTACGGAACCAAATGTGGTCATCAACAATTGAGAACACAAAGACATGGTCATGGTAGGGCTTTGACTTTCTATGCTCTTTAGGAGTTCCAAATATCTGTTTAACGATTTATAAATAAGCAACAAAATAAAATAAAATATTTGAAGAAAAGGAGTGCATACCTGTGTGATCATTTCTTTCAGAAGTTTCCAATGAGGGTCTTTATCAAAATTTGATGAAAATGTGAGAAGAGGTCGAGATCCTTTCAGATGATTTCCAGTAAGTTTTAATTCTTCCATTGTGTGAACTAATATAAAACATTCACAAGTCAAATAAATATAAATCATATATATATATATATATATATATATATATATATATATATATATATATATATATATATATATATATATATAATATATATATATATATATATATATATATATATATATATACAGAATGGAATCAATAAGAAATTTAAGGAACAAGATTACCTGCATTCACTAGAAACTTCACAGATGGACCATTTGGGCATTTCGACATCCATAAGTATAAGTCTTTGTGTTTCCTACACTGGAAATGAAGGGATCAATCAAACACTTATGATCAAAAAACTTAAATCTATCTACTATGGGGTTTTAAAGATGAAATGAAGGATTACTCGCCTTTCATACAAAAAGTTTTTGAGGATTAAAAAAAAACAGGCACAGTGTGATCGATTGAGAAGTATAATATGAAGAAGAAAGAAAGTAACCTCAAAGAAGAGACAAGATGAACAGCTTTTTAGTTCAACAAGTTCATTCAGGGTTGCTCCTTTGGTAGCCTTGGACTCAACTTTGTTATCTTTCTTGCAGTGTGGCAAAATCGATACCAAATTCAACATTAAATGGCGATATCTAAAGTAATTCACACCGATCAATCAAATTAAAAAGAAGATGAGTAATACAATATAAAATGAACAAATCGAGAAAGAGCTAACCTGTAATTTATGCGACGAGAGCAAGTGACGAGAACTTTCTCTCTGTTTCTAAAACCTGTAGTGGTTGTAGAGTCTTGTGGGTTTTCTGGCTTGTCTTTCCAACCCAAAAGAGTCCTTTTAGGCCTCTCCGGCGCCGTTTCATCTTTCTTCGCCTCCGGCACCACCACTTCACTGTGTTTTCGCTTCTTTCCCATCTTGTTTTTCAGAGAGAGAGGTGAATAATTGATGTCGTCGACTAGTTGAAGTTCACGTAAACCCTAAACCCTATGATTGATGTCGTCGTGCTCTGGCAAGATTTAGGAGATACTGAAAATGGCTACATACTTGATGGGCTTTTGGGCCTATTTTTATAAATATTAGTCACAACAATGCAAAAATAGTCCATGTCAAAACTCATGTTTTGACTAACATTAGTCCAAAAGTATCATTTTCTTAGAATTCCATCCAATTTGATTTGAATTTTTTGTAAACATAATTTTATCTTTGGTTTTTGCTTGTTTAGTTTTTTTTTTTTTATTTAAATATTGTTATATTTAAAAGAATAATAAAAAAGAAATACATCTATGTGTGTTTTTGATAAACATCCAAAAACATATTCATAGATTTAAAAACATCTTCACCGCCACCATCTACCACCACTATTTCCATCTAAACTTTCCACTTCATCTCCACCAAAAAATCATCACATAAACAAAAACCATACACAAAATTAGATTTGATGAAAACACACACAGAATCAGATCAAATTCAAAGATTTGAGATTGAACATCACATTACTCGATTTTTGAAAACATTTAACGCAAACACACACACACACATAAAACCTAAAATTCAATTCAAAGAACTGAGGTGGAACAAAATCTAACTTGTCACATCTTAAACCCTAAATTCATCGAATCTGAAACATGATTTTTCTTCTTCTCTCTTTAACAGATCTGAGGTAGAACACCACCTCTCTTAGCATCTCTCTTACATATTCGATAATGGGGAGGTGGTTAGAGACGATTGAAACAAGACCTGAAATGGTGGTGTTTGTTGATTGTGGTGCTAGAAATCACAAGCCACCATCTCTACTATGGTTTGTAGAGTCGCTCGGGTTGGCGGCGCTAGAGGCTATGGTTTTACTAAGGGCTTTGTCAGTGATGAGAAAGATACAAATCATCTCCGACAAATTGCAGGTCCAATTATGGTGGGTTGAGGTCTAGTTGTTTACGACAGAGGTCCGATTACGAGCCGAACTCCAACGACATAAATAAGAGAGAGAGAGAGAGAGAGAGAGAGAGAGAGAGAGAGAGTCGCCCTCCAAAACCCACTCTCCTTTTCCAACGAAAACATCAGCTAGTTTTAATTTTTCAGCAAGACAAAAGGGTAGCATATAAAGAACAATGTGCATCATGTTTTATTTAATCATTTGAAAATATTTCTTATTTGGTTTATGTCCTTTATCTTTGTCAAGATGAAAAGGCCTAAAATCCATAAGATAGCATGCGTTGGGTAATGGTACATAATTGAACGAGACTGAACTGACTAGGATTGAACCGGACAATACTGAGCTTAAAATTACCAAACTGCCAATATTCGTTTATTAGCCTCAAACAATTACCCTATGTTTCAGAAAGCAACATTGTTTACAAATGAATACTTCCTATTATTTACAAATAAAAACTTCTGAGCAAAGAAGACCAAGAAAAAAATGACTATATTTAAAGTAGACTTAAATAAAGATTTTGACTACCATTTTTTTAAACCTTGTGATGGGAGTTAACGCCATAAGATGAAATTCCAACGGGAGTTGATAACAAACAAAAAAAAAAAAAAACAGATAAAGGTGGTTTGGCATAACAAAATTTCCATCATTCTCAGCACAAAGAACATACTACAGACAAAAATCAAATCCACTATTTTTCTATTACACTAATAAAACGAAACCAAATCCACAAACCTAAAATCACAAACCCCATAGAGTTTCATTACATTACATTTGGTGTAAACAAAAAACATTAATCTATTATGCTGCAGTCTTTTGTTTCTTTGGGACACGATAGGCTCCAACAACACAAGCATGGTCTCTCTCAAATGGCTCAAGTGTCACCTGCTCCATCGGCTTAAACTGCTCAGCTTGAAGCTTCTTCACCTCAGAAGCAAACACAGCTTCAGCAGGAACTGTTGAGTCAATGCAGTTTGCCTACACCATTTTATATCAACCACCACATTAATTTAACTACTTACTCAACAACTTAATCAATTTGAAATAACAAAAAAAATTTAGAAAAAACAAACCTTGATAGAGATAACAAAATAGCCTCCAGATTTCAGGAAATAAGAAGCATTCAGTGCTAGAATTCTTGCCTGTATTTTAAAGAGACAGAAATAAATAAATAAGTAGTGATGTGTGAATAAATAATAATTAACTAGAGTTACAGAATTCGTTACCAATTATAAAACTTAGGCAGAAGATATGAAGAAATTAAAATTTAATATTTCATCATGGAAGCATCAGAAACTCGATTTTGCATCACTCATGACGTCTTGAAGGGGAATCCGAGTTAATTCATCATGCACTTGGAAGTCAAAATTGACTTCCTTTTAAAGAAGTAATTTCAAAATAAACAGAAAGTCTACAAACTAATGTTTAAAGTACTACATACAAAAAATATTGAAAATATAAATCTAGAAATCAATAGATGCATCAGAAACTCGGTTTTGCATCATCCAAGATGTCCTGAAGGGGAATCCGAGTAAGCTCATCATATGCTATTTTGTAACTCAAAAAGTAAAACAAAACATAATTTTTTTCATAAACTATTTGAAAAACACATTTTAGCATGTTGAAAAACCTTTAAAAAGTGGGGAAATAGAAAGCAAAAGAGAAAAAGAATTCAAATTTACGAACGTAATGCTAGAAACACACAAAAAAACTTGGTAGATATACTAAAAACTGAAAAAAAAAAGTAAATATTTTCAGGAAAGTAAAAGATTAATGTGATGCAACTTGAAAAGATTTGAGTAGCATTGATGTGGTCTTAATAGGTGTAAAAGCAAACCTGATCAGGTTGAGCAACATCAGAAAATATGACATCAACCATGCCAACAAGCATCCTGTACTTGGCTGGATGCCTTGCATCCTCAATAATAGGAATCACATTCGTGCGCTTCTTAGCCATGTTCACCAAATCTCTACCACTTCTGTGAGAAAACTCAACAGCATACACAACTCCAGTCTGTTGATAGTTCAAAAACAAGTAAATAACACAATAATGGTGACTGTTGCTATAAATGAAATGACTCGAAGTGAATCGAAAATTACTTACAGGTCCGACAAGATCAGAGACATGAGAGACGGTGGTTCCTGATGCAGCTCCCAAATATAGCACCTTCGATCCAGGTTTCTAAACCAAATGGAAAAGACGAATGTTAATACAATAATAGCATCATAGATCTCAGAGAAATGGATTATGGAGTGAACTTTTACCATCCAGATGTTGTCAACTCCACCAAGAACAGCAGCAGCCAACTTTGATCTAAATGGATTCCATACTCTGTATTCAACCTTTGTCCCATCTTCATTCTGATCAGAAATTGATGCATGTCAAAATGAAGAATATATGCGCAAAATTGAACAATTTAAATCGTCGATAGTGATCTATTGTAGTACCTGAACGGAGATCCTCTTTTCGTTGTACACAGCTTCTCCAGGAACCATGTTTTTGGTGCAGAGAGCATCTTCTTTGCCCTTGGCGATGAACACACCTTCGTGTCTATGTGGCTCAACTACAACCTTGCTCCCTCCCTTCATTCCACCGCCTCTACCACCACGACCTCCACCACGGCCTCTGCCGCCACCTCTTCCACCTCCGCGAGCCATATCACCACCTCTTCCTCCACCAAATCCTCCTCTTCCCCTTCCTCCTCTACCGCTTCCATCGCCACGGCCTCCACTACGACCGCCGCTGAAACCTCCACCACCACGTCCGCCACTGAAACCTCCACCTCCACGTCCTGTAAATCAAACAGCAACAGATTAGTTAACTGAAAAATAAAGATAAATAACTGAATTTGATGTAGAAGAACATACCTCCTCTCATTGGTGCCCTCATACTTCCCAGCTGAAGGCGTTTTTTGGTGCAAAGAAAATTTCTAGGGTTTATGGGGTGGATGGGAAAGCAGAGCGGCGAATTGTGTATTTTATAAGGAGAGGGTTTAGGGTTTTTGTTTTTTAAAGAATTTTTAATATATTTTGTTTGTTTGTTAATTGGGCTACGCCCAAACACAGTCGAATGTGGGCCAGTTATGTTGTATTAGCCCAACTTACTTTCAAAGCACATTATTGTTTTTTGTAAATCGTAGTATTTAATTTGTAGATATACATGTGAAATGATTTATAATAATCGCTAGTAATATTATCTACGGTTTTTTCTTTCACAAATTATTTTCTAAAGTCTATTAAAATGAGGAAAGTTAGAAACACTACTAAAGATAATCAACTCACATACGATTTCAGTGACGGTTTCATAAAAAAAATTAGGAGTTATATAAATTTTTTAAGGGTTGAACTACTACAAAAAAAAAATCATTTCTAAAGCTAGTTTTCATCACAAAATCATCATTAAACGGAAGAATTTACACTAAATTCACAATTATCAAACTTTGTGATGAATTGTCAACAGATTCGTGATGAATTTGTGATGGATTTTTGACAGATTTTAACGAATTTTCACTAAATTTACATTTGACGGAAAAAATTAAAGTAATGGAACAAAGTAAATTCCCCCCTGATTTATATAGTTTGTGACTCTAGAATACCAACATATAAAACGAGATTTATAATGCTATAAGCAAAGTTTAAGAAAATTAAAAAACTGCAATGTTATGATCTATCATCAAAGTTGATTGTTATATGTTAACAAACTACAATGTTCACTTAAAACATTTATAGTATAGTTAACAAAGTACAACTTAAACACTTGGGGACATGTGAAAAATATGATGAATAAATTATTAACTCATGCTCAAATTTTGGCTCTATTTAGCACATGTGGTTATGGAGGTTCGCATACAATAACTCCAGGACATGAGACACAGTCTCATGTTTGCAGCGGGGTATTAATCGATGTATGAAAGTTGGTTCGAAAACCCTTGTTAGGGAAGTTATCTTTCCAATAAATAGTACAACTTTAACATGTAGGGACTTATTTTCATGGACTTATCTTAGGAATCAATAATGACAAAAAATAAAAAATAAAATAAAAAAATCATAAACCTCTATCATGAACCTATCCTACTTCGTAATATTTAACTAACGGATATTAAAATAAGTAAAGATTCGAAACCAAAACCAATTACAATTGACCATTGAATAAGTTTCTCCAGTTTTAGTCGGATTAAATGCAATACATAAATGTAAAATCAAGCATATGGAGAGATACACACATGGACAAAAATAATGATTATTTGATGAAGACAAATATGTGACTAATGTGGTATTTGTTTTGTTGAAAAATATTTTTTACGTCATTTATGTCTACGCAACAGTAGACATATATGAAAAAAAATGTTTTTTTAGAAGAAAAAGAACATAAAAACATATGTTCGTCCTCTTTTTGCATAATAGATATAAAAAATAGCTTCTAAAGTTGCCAAAATTTTCTAAAGATGGAGTCTTCATCATAATTTTGTGATATGTCTCAAATTTCACCTAAAAATAAAATGTTGCATAAGACTAGACAGAGTAGGACTCGTTAGAGGTTCGCTATCATTGCTATGGAGGTTGGAACACCACCCCTTACCGGTCGTCGCGGGGGGCGGGAGCTAAGACTTA